TACAAGCTTTCAAGAGGGAAGCTAGATTCATAGGGCATGGAGGAAGGTAGAATACAATCTGTCTACCTGGCGCTAGTGTAATCCGGATGGATCTCTTGTGATAACAATAGTGAATAATTGTGATCTGGACTGCTTGTGAGGGTTGGAATTTTAGAGGTAGACTTTTTTTAGCAAGGAAGGGAGTGATTAACTTTTCAGCCTAAGAGCGGAGATCCCTGGGACCATCAAGGGAGAAGAGCGGAGAGCGGGACCCTACCCAGAGAAGCAGTGATGCCTGAGATGGAGGCAGAGACGATGACGTGGAGAGATGGAGCTGTTGGGGACTTTAGACACAGAGAGGGAGAGGGGCTGTGTGCTGATGACCAGGGGGCATGCCTGTAGTGTATACCTTTTGGTTGGCTGATGATGCAGGGAGGGGATTGTAACCATAGCAATGAAATTATATACTATAGGATAAATGTAAAACTAATGTTCTCCCATATAAACTATCACATAATTCACAATAAAACATTAAAAAAAACCAACCAACATTGCTAACTGGGTGCCATACAGCCTCATACAGTGTGGATCAAAGCACTGAACTGGCAGATGAAAGATTTCAATTCTCATTGCGGCTCTGTCACTAAATGGATAACACTGGATAGTTCATTAAATCATTCATTCATTCAGTCACTCAACAAAATTCAAGAGATTCCTGCCATCTGTTTAATAAAACAGACAAATATCCCTACTTTCACACAGTTTACATTCCAGCCATTTAACCTTGTTTTGGATTATTTCTAATATTCTGTCAAAGATACTGAGTCTTCGTCAATGAAACACATACTTAAAGTAATTTTTCTCGGTAATGAAGGCAGCTATCCTGAATCATGCACTAGGTCATAAGGTCCACTCTGCGGCCATGGAAGATAGTTTCTTAAGCCACCTGCTAGTTTAGCTATGTGACATGCCAAACACCTTTGTGATACTCCCTGAGCAACCCGGGTATCAATTCTGTAATCATGACCTCTGTAAGTTCTGTCCTAAAATCAGAGCTACTCAACCAGTGTGAGTACTTTCAATGAAGAGACACTGATTCCCTTCAACTTCAGGGTGGCCCAATACGGAGTAGGAGGCACTTGGCTTGTGGTCTCCAACAGCATGTTCTATATGTACACTAACATTTTGTAGGTATGCCATCATGTAAAAAGAAATTTGGGAAATATTTCTATAACCAGCCAAGTTGTAAAATAAAAATATATTTAAAATGCCAACACTATTACATTATAAGTAAATAAATGAATTAGAGAAGAAAGTTTAAAAAAAAAGAAACTGCCCAAGTCTCAGAGCTCAGTAGAGGTCTATTGTAGAGCAATGCATTTTTTAAAAATGCTCCTATCATTATCTAAAGTAGCCTTTTCTACGCCCACTCGTCTTATACATATGCACAGGTTATTCCCTAAATAGTTCTCAGCTGTAATTTGAAATTATCTTGCTTTCCTGCTGTCTCTGAACCAGAAGAAAAGCTTTCAGGCCTTGCTTGTCTATTTGGCCACTGTTTCTCCAGCACCTAAAGCAGTACTTATAGTAGGATGGTGATGGTTATGTGCTATGGAGTTGGTTCGGACTCACAGTGACCCTGTATAGGGTTTCCAAAGCTGTAAATCTTTACAGGTGCAGAAAGCCTCATCTTTGTCCAGAAAAATGGCTGACAGTTTCAAACTGCTGACCTTGAGATTAGCAGCCCGACTCATAACCACTATGCTACCAGAGCTGCTTTATAGTAGGATAATTTATTCTTGAACCAATCGATAGATTTAATTTTAATTCCGAAAGTATTTACTGATGTCAATATAGGAAACTTAGGAATAATCACGCATTTTTGAAATGAGGTGCTATTCTGTTTTAAATAAATTCCCATTAAAAAAAAATCTAGACAATAGTCCTTTTTCATACATACTGCTGATCAATTTTATGAAAAGGTGTATTTACTTTGAGGGTAAATTTTGCCCGTATATTAAATGAAGTAACTTCTAATTACTATAGTTACTGTTGTTAAGTGCCATCGAGTCAGTTCTGACCCATAGTGACCCTGTACAGGGTTTCCGAGAGTGTAAATCTTTACGGGAGTAGAAAGCCTCATCTTTCTCCTGCGGAGCGGCTGGTAGTTTCGAACCGCTGACCTTAAGGTTCGCAGCCCAATTCATAACCACTACGCTACTAATAGTACACAAATGCTCTACTAGATGTTTGAACTATCATGGCAAAGTCGTACTATCCACATTTTCCCATATGAAAACAGACTTGCTTAAGGTCAAAGACATTAGCAGTCAGGATTGAAAATCAGGTTCACCTGACTCCAAAGCGCATGCCTACAGAAAAACCAAACTCAACTCTTTTTTACTGTGAATTGGGTGAAGGCTTACAGTGAAAAGCAGTTTACCATTAACAACTCATTGATTGCACGCCCCAGTGCTGATCCTACTACAGCGCACCACAAGTTCCAGAGACCAGTTGTGGACTGTTGTAAACGGCTACTCACAAACTTTTGAAGCTCTCCCGTGACTCATATTACATACAGATGTACTATGCCAACTGACAACACCTCCACCCCCATGGTCCTGAGTCCCTAGGCACTGACTCACTCCATCAAGGTGTTTGGTTAAGCTCATCCTGACATCCTCTGTTGTCTATTATTTATCTTAAACCACTTAGAATATACAGATACTTGGAAGACACATCTATAACCTCAGGCATTACTTTTCTACTGTTATGTTGTTAAGTACTGTGGAGTCAATTCTGATTTATAGGGTCCCTGCACAGGGTTTCCAAGGAGCTGGTGGGTTTGAACTGCTGACCTGTGGTTTGCAGTGCAGTGCTGATCCTACAGCGCCACACCACGAGTCCTTCTACTAACATGGTGGTGGTGGTTATGTGTCAAGTCGGTTCCGACTCACAGCGACCCTGTACAAGGTTTCCAATTACAGGAGCAGAAAGCCGTATCTTTTTCCTGCAGAACAGCTGCTAGTTTTGAACTGCTGACTGCGAGGTTAGCAGCCTGATTCGTAACCACTATGCTACCAGCGGTCCTTTTCTACAAATAATTAGGACAGAGCAAATATGATTCCTTCCTCTTCCTCTGTTCAAAACTACCCAGAGGTTCCTCCAGAGCTGACACTCGTTTTAATACCTTAAAAGCACAGTCTATAATAACACGGCCTTATCCTAAACACTAAACTATGTAGCTAAAGACTTTGTGAATGATCCTGGCAGCTATTTCATAGACAAGGTGTCAACAACTGTAGCCTCCTTTGATCGCAGCTGGTTGTGGTACAGTAAAACAAAAAAATCTTTAAATGGCACAAATACGTGTGGCAGTGGGGAAGGGACAGATGTGTTAGGGTTTTGTTTACTTGGCACTTAAGACTCGGCAAGGCGAACCTAGAATGCTGAAGTTGGTGCAAGGTACCTACTTTGTGGACAAAATGGGAGGGGAAAAAAATAGATGCTGGCTACCTCTTTCAGAGAAGTCATACGTCTGTCCTTCAGGGCACACTGCAAACACACGTACCACCTAGGGGGCACTTGCAGGCTAGCATCTAAAGGAGGGTGGGGACTACCGGCCCCATTTGAAAATAGAAACCCAGGGCACAGGAAGAAACCAGGCGGGGTACACCAAGCCTTCAAGAGACTCGCCCTGAACAGCCCTCTTTGCAGTCCCCGTGCTCCCCGCCCCCGGGTCCAGCAGCTGGGTTCCCCAAGCCCCGCACGAGCTGGGAGGGAGGGTGTGGCACCTAGCTCAGGCTCGCCAGAGAACGCACGTTACACTTTACTTTCCTACAGTGTAGCTTAGGTATCTGACACGCCGCCCTTTCTCACCTCTCCGCAGGGCTGGCGACAAACGCCTGTGAGTGGGAGGAAGCCGGCTCTCCCCG